AGAAACTTCACCTGAATTGTAGAAACTACACCTGGATCATAGAAACTACACCTGGACCATATAAACTACACCTGAACCATATGAACTACACCTGGACCGTTGAAGCTAAACCTGCACCAGTCCATCTGTGTCAGTGGCTCTTTCATGTTCTCTCAAACCCCAGCTGGTTGAAGTAGATGACCATCTGTCCTGAGCCCAGTTCCAGTTCTTCTGGAGGTTTTGTCTTGTTCAAAGGGAGTCATTCCTTTCCACCATCACCAATGTGTCAAGCAGGATGGGGGACTGAAGTAAAGTGATGATTCAACACAATCTGCTGGCTTCCATCGATATGTTTTAGTAACTAATGCATGAATATAAAGGAAACTTAATTGAATTTTAGATTAAAATCTGGATCTTGGACTTTGCACTTCTCTTGTATAGTGCATTGAGATGGCTGATAAGTGGCGCTCTATAAATAAAAACTATTCAGTTGAATTTAATCATAGGAAATGGGTTTTTTTTTAGTGGACAGATGCTTCCTACCTTTCTCTGATGGTTGAGTAAAGTCCCTGCCAGTTACAGTTCTGTATGGTGTTGTTGTTGTTGAGGTTCTGCTGTTGGTACTGTTGCACCGTGGTGGTGGTGGAGGACGCCGGCTTCTTAGTGGGGAATATCTCTGCTGACATCTTCTTCTTCTTGCTCCGAAGAGTTATTATCTCATAACAGACTGGTGGCAGCTTGGAGCCGCCGCTGGCATTCCCTTTCTTGGAGCTTTTGCTTGACTTGCCTTTCACCGATTCAGGGAGCATTAAGAAGAAAGTCAGACATTTCATGTTCCGTCCCTTTGCATCGACCATGAGTGTGTTCAACTGCCGAGCAGTGGGAGCAGAGAAGAGAAGACATCCACCAGGAGCGGGCAGGTGCGATGGGGAGATGAGGACAGCAGTAAGAGGTTTGGGATCACCGTCTTTGGAACTACCAGGGCATATCTCTTCCTTGTTTTGTCAGCTCTTTGAAGAGGCAGGTTCAAACTGTTGAACCAAAAGCAGTGTTCTTGTGAGAGGGTAGATCTGCTGACAACTAGTCTCTCAGGATTCCCATCCCTGCTTGTCCAGAGTGATGAGATCAGCTCTTCAAGTGACTTCTTTTTTCCTCTGCTCCCCTTTTCTTCCTCACTCGGTGGCTCTCTGAGAGTTTGCCCTGACAGCTTCAGATTTACTGTAGCTGCAGTGGTCCTCAGGCAGCGCTGTTTGTTCAGGTCCTTTCATTTAGCGCTCTTACTCCCTCTGTGATTTCCTGCTCCTCTCTGCCTGTCTTCATGTGCCATTTTCCCTGTTTTTTTCTTCTTCTATTTATCACCGGATCTTTTCCCCTCTCCTCCTCCTCCTCCTGCAGGATGCTGGAGCCGAGGATGCTGCGATGCTCCGCTCAGCCTCTCGTTCTGCTGACTACAGAGGTTGAATGGAGGAGCGCAGAGGAGATGGAGAGCCCCCGCCTCCCCCCCCCCAACACAGTTTAGAGCTTTCTCAAGAGCTCAGCCAATGGCAACAGACAGCATTAATGATTAGCTAATTCAGCCTATGGTGCAGCACATGCTTGAATATGTAAAAAGCTACATCTCAATTAAAGACACAGCCGTGCCTCGTCAGGATGATGGATCAATCCACGTCTTGTGTGTTTGGACAGTAAACGCTGGGTCGGATTTTGTGCATTCATTTTGTTTGTGTGTGTTTATGTGTTCATTTGTCCACACTGTTTGAAAAATGTCTCATGAGCCACTAGAATAATTTAGGTTAAACTCACAAGAGGTAATCGTTAGATGTGCATCTACATTTGATTGAGATTTGAAATTAATCAAAGTCACCATGGTCGCCAAAGCAAACAAATCTTAAATGTGTATAACTCGGTCAGTTTTACAAATGCTGAGCTAAAATTTGCTGTGGTAGTAATGGAGACGGCCCTCCAACTTATACTCTGAGCGCTAACTGATCGCATTTAATCTGCGTTTAAATCTGTGGCATTTACTACTAGAGTCAGCTCTGTCAGTCTGTTCAAAATATCGTATAAACTGGACAGACTTTATTAAAACCTTTAGGAAACATTAAATGGATGAACATCTGATTAGATGTACGCATACACAGACTCTTTCCAAAAAATGTGAATATCATGGAAAAGTTGTTTAACTTCCATAATTCCATTCAAAACATTAATCTTTAACAGATGATAGATTCAGGGCCCACGATTTAAACAATTTCAACTATTTATTTATTTTTACATAATTTGGGCTTCCAGCTCATGAAACCCACGAAAACAGGAATTCAAAAAATTTGAATACTGTGAAGACATGAGCCCACACTACTACTCGGTTTTTGCAGAAAAAAATAAAGAAATTAGGATCACAACAAATCAATTAAGATATGGTACTTTCAAAACGATGTGTCAGTCTTCAATACTTGGTTGGGAATCCCGTTGCCTTAATCTCTGCCTCGATGAGACGTGACATTGAGGCAATCAGCGTGTGGCATTGACTGGGAGTTATGGAAGCCCAGATTTCCTTGATGCTTGCTGTCAGCTCTTCTTTGTTGTTGGGTCTGGTGCCCCTCATGTTCCTCTTGAGAATACCCCATAAATTCTCAGTGGGGTTTAGGTCCGGCGAGTTGGCTGGCCAGTTGAGCACTGTGGCATCAAACCAGGTTTTGTTGCTTCTGGCGGCATGGGCAGGGGCCAGGTCCTGCTAGAAGATGAAATCTGCATCTCCATACAGATCCTCAGCAGAAGGACTCATGAAGTCCTCTAAAACATTCTGGTAGACTGTTGCGGTGACCTTGGATTTAAGAAAGCAGAGTTTACCAACACCTGCACCGGACATCGCACTGTTTTTAAGTCTCGCTTAAAAACTCACTTTTATTCCCAGGCTTTTGACACTGTGTGAGTCGAATTTAACTTGTCTGTATAATGTTTGTTATTTAGTTCTTATCTTTATCTGGATCTATGTATTTTATCTTGTGTTTCTTGCTCATTTTGTTTTGCCATACAAAACTTTGTTTGGCCTTTTTGCTGTTTTTAAGTGCTTTATAAATAAAGTGGTATGGTATAAATATAATGCACTTTTTTTCAAAGTTTGTGCAGAATGCATGTTTCATTTTATTCTTCTTGTCTTGTTAAGTTTGTTCACAGATGGTGAAAATACTTAGATTTGTTACCACCCGTCTCTGAAAGGGTAAAGACAATCAGTGGTTTTACTTGTGTCGGTGTGCATTTTTTTGTCTGTTAGCAAAATATCCCATAAACCACTGGATAGACTTTAATAAAACTCATTGGTTACATATCTACCATTCTGTAGTCAATTGAATACAAAATGGCTGCCATAGCTAACAACCAAACGACTACAAATATGTCAGTTTTGTACATATCAGGTTACAATTTGGTGTGGTAGTAGCTGGGAGTGATTCACGGCACATAATGTAAGAAATAACAGAATATGGGAAATCTGATTATTATTACAATATTTTCAAGGTTTAAACAAAACTTTTTTTGATTTAAGTTTTTTACTATTCGTTAGTGTTTTCATGTTAATATTTTAGTGGCAAAGGAGAGTATCTAAAATAACATTTATTTCAATAAAACTAGTATTATGCTGATATTAAAACTGAAAAACAGAGCGGGATGTAGGGAATAAATTTATTGGAGAAACTCTTCTTTGAATGAGTCACAATATTGATTTTCCCATAAACCCTAATTAACTGTCTTAGTGTTTGCTGCACTGAGGAGCATTAGTCCACTAAAGCCCCCTGATACACTGTACGCTGCAGAACAGAGAAATTCGTCGTGGCATCGTTGAGCCAACATTAGACGGCACCATACTCTGAAATTGCAGGCCACTAGAGATGTTACCCTGGTAACCACATCCAAAAGCAACACTAGAACAAAAAACGTATTATGCAGACATAAAAACAATAATGGTAGGAAGGGAAAAGGGCTTGTCCTGCACCGTTTTCGTTCGTCCACAGAAATCTATATTAACAAGTCAAATTATAAATGCATTTTTTTTTTGAGAGGTGAAACTCTGGTAACCGCTGACAAATTGCTAAATAAACAGTTTTGTGACGAATCCGACATTAAAGTCCAGCATCTGTGCAGGGTGTTTTATAAATTGGATGTCACCTTACATCATCCTCAGAGGTTTAATTGCATTTTTCCCTCCATTCATCAACAGAAACTGTAATCTTGTTAATCACACATTTAGGAAGGAGCGAGAGGAGGAAGTAATGATGCTGTCACAGCGTCTACACCGCTGTTGTCTCACACTGTGTCATCACCTGCAGTCGCACTTTTCCACTGTAAACGAAAACATTAGCATAACCGTTGTAGTGTGGCAATTAACGAGGGGTTTACCAAAAACCCATAGATCCTGGCTGCTGTAATCAGGTTAGATATATTTATTTTAAAAAAAACTAAGATGGTCATATGCATGCAGATAAACGGCATCTTTATTGTCTTGATGGTGCTCGGGATATCCTAACTTGGGTTCTAACAAGGTTAAGTCAGGTCCTCTGGATGGATTCTTCTTTGTTGAAATGTTTTGTCTTGGTCTTCATGTGGTAGTTGAACACAGAGGCCTCCGCCCTTGTTTAAAGATGGATGGGTTTTCTTCACAAAGATGGCCTCCTTTACTCCTCTCTCAAACCATCGTTCCTCTCTATCCAGGATGTGAACATCTTCATCCTTGAAAGAGTGACCGCTGGCCTGGAGATGAGTGTGGACCGCAGAATCCTGGCCTGATGATGTTGATCTTCTGTGCTGGCTCATCCTTTTGGCCAGTGGCTGTTTAGTTTCCCCGATGTAAGACTGATCACAGCCCTCCTGACATTGAACAGCATACACAATATTACTCTTTGTGCCGGGGGACTGGATCGTTGGGATGAACCAGTCTTTGCTGTAATGTATTTTGGGGTTTAAAAGCCACTGGGACGTTGTGTTTAAAAAATAAATGTCTCAGTTTCTCTGATACTCCCTCAACATATGGAATGACCACTGGTCTGGGTCTGGGTTCCTCCTTTTCACCTGATGGCTGACTGGAGTCCTGTTTGGGTTTCTTCTCTGCTTTCAGGAAGGCCCAGTTAGGATATCCACATTGCTCTAGAGCCTGTCTTGTGTGGGATTTCTCCTTCTTGGCTCCTGAGTTAGTGGGGACGCTGTCTGCTCTGTGGTACAGAGTCCTGATGACTCCTAACTTGTGCTCCAAAGGGTGATGGGAGTCAAACCACAAGTACTGGTCTGTGTGGGTGGGTTTGCGGTACACATCCATTTACAAATGTCCTCCATCAGTGACTGAGACTTCACTAACTTCAGTTCATTTATCAAAATAATTAGCAGCATTACAAAATACAGCCCAGTACTTACTGTGTACAAACCTGGACCTCACCTGGTACTTACCGGTCACATAGCTGGTATGTACTCTGTACTAACAGGGTGACAGATTACTTTATAACACAGTACGGTCCTATTAGGTGTCAGGTATGTTCCTGGTAATTACCAGGTACCCAGTATTTATCGCGTGTGTATCCATTAAGTACCATATACATTGAAAGGTATGTATCAGGTAAGTAGCAGGTACAACCCTTGTAAATACCAAATACATACTTGGTTGTTACAGGTATGTACCATGTCCATACATGGACAATCACCAGATACGTTCTATGTGCAAAATGTGTAATTATACCAGGTACTTATCCATTTCATAATTGGGTAATTGCAAGTACTAAGTAAGCACTTGTACTAGATGCATAATAGGTAATTACCAGGTACTTACTGGTTTCATAAATAGGTAAATACTAGGTACATACTGGGTAAGTACCTGGTAATTGCCAGGTATGTACTAGGTGCATAATGGGTAATTACCAGGTACATACTAATTTCATAAATGAGTAATTCCTTGTTTTGTACTAAGTTCCTGGTAAATACCAGGGAGCTTTTAAATAAGTACCAAGTATGTAACCAGTAAGTATCTGGTGTTCACCTAATTTGTATCTAGTTCATGTTCAGTAAGTAACATGTAAGTATCTAGTATACACACAGTGTACAACAGGTAATTACCCATAAATACCAGAAAAATACTAGGTACAGACCTTGTAAATACCAGGTATGTACAAATGAAATATAAGATACATACTCAATACATGCAAAGGTCATTTCCAGGTAATACGAATGTACCAGATAAGCGCCTTGTAAATACTAAGTACAAATTATTTACCGGTAAGTACCAAATTAATTCCGGGTTGTTTTATGAATTGCTTCAAAATATTTATTGATAATAAAACGTACACTGCGAACTGAAACAAATAAAACCACGTTACATTCTGTTGCAGGCTCACTGGTAGTCCACGGTTCTGTACTGTATAGTGGTCCATCCTTACTGGTGCAGAAACATCAAAAGGTGAAGTTAAAAAGCAGCAGAAGTCCAGC